TGGCCCACTGAGAGCGAACAGTGGGGTCAGCATCAGCAGGTGGGGCAGGAGAGGCGTCAGAGGTGAGGTCAAAGAGGGAAAGGCCGTCAGCTCTATCGCACTGTAAGAACAGCTGCAGGTCGTCGACCCAGACCTCAAAGTCAATGGCTCGACCCTCAGCGTCAAAAGCGAGGACAGTGGGGGTAGCCATGACGACGACAGAGGAGCAGTGCAAGCAGTAGGGGAAGGGCACGCAGTGACAGCGGTACGGTGCTCACCGGGCAGGGCAGGTCGGGCGGCTCGGCTGCTGCTGGGCGGCTCGGCGGCTCCTGGGCGGCTCGGCTGCTGCTGGGCTGCGGGTGGGCCGCAGGTAGGGCAGCGGGGCCGCGCAAGAAGGGTGGCTGGGGCCGCTAAGGAAGGGCGGCGGGGCCGCTAAGGAAGGGCGGCGGGGCCGCGAAGTGGTGAGGGCGGCGAGGCCGCGAGAGCAGAGCGGCGGGGGGGCGCGAAGGAAGGGCGGCGGGGCCGCTTAGCAGAGGGCGGCGGGGCCGCGTGAGCAGAGCGGCGGGGCCGCGAAGGAAGGGCGGCGGGGCCGCTTAGCAGAGGGCAGCGGGGCCGCGTGAGCAGAGCGGCGGGGCCGCTTAGGAGAGGGCGGCGAGGCCGCGTAGCAGAGGGCGGCGGGGCTGCGTGAGCAGAGCGGCGGGGCCGCGAAGCAGAGAGAGCGGCGGGGCCGCGATGCAAGGGCGGCGGGGCCGCGATGCAGGGGTGGCGGGGCCGCTAAGGAAGGGCGGCGGAGCCGCGTTCGAAGGGCGGCGGGGCCGCGATCGTAGGGCGGCGGGGCCGCTAAGGAAGGGCGGCGTAGCCGCGATCGAAGGGCGGCGGGGCCGCGAAGGGAAGGGCGGCGCGACGGGCCGCTAGGGGCGACACGAAAGGTCGCTAAAAAAAAGGAAAAACGCGCCTCGGGGCGCGCTTCGGTGGGCCCTAGAAGCAGTCCCTAGGAGGGAACCTGCTCTGATACCATGTGAAACAAAGAACGAGAATGAAATGACTATGAACGAAGTGGGTACAAATAGGAAACCCTAATTGGGTTGTACCCACTATGGGATACCCCACTATAGCCTACACAAACAAGTAAGCTATAATGTTATGACAGCGCCCTGCATCGGAGCCGATCATCGAGCCCGAAAAAAATCTGAGCCATCGGATTCGCCACCCCACGGGAATTAGGAGGATTGAATTCCCCGTTCACTGGAAGGACCGCACGCCAACTGAATATAGCTGGGTGCCCCTGGCCATTATCGAAAACCACCTGGCCTGCAAGTGTACATGAGGAGCCGGGGATTCCGCAATATATACGCACTCGCGTAGCGGAGGGGGCTTCTTGAAGGGAGGGGGGGGGGGGGTAGTGTAAGGATTTTTCTCGGCATTCCTTACGGAGTCCGACTACATCGCGTATAGCAACAACCGTTGTTCGCCCGTTACTGCTAACGGGGCTTCGCCAACTTCACGCGCACTGTTTTGCCAAATCTCGCACTGCTGGTCCAGCCGTGTCGGCCTACGCTTCGGGACTAGCCCGAGCCTCGCTGCCAGCGTAGCACTAGCTAGCTCGCACGCAGCGCGTTACCGTTTGCATGTTTCACGTATAAATGTTCGCCCATGCCTTCGCTCACATTTTGTACTCGTTTGACACTTTAGTGCAATCCTAGCTACCTCGATCCATTGCACCCGTAACACATGACCACAAATTAGGACCAAGATAATAGGTTGAGATATGGTGTAGGTTTCCTTTCGATGTGGTATTATTGTCATTTGTGTTCTGTCAAACATTTCTGGTGTGACTCTACGCTGTGTGCCTCTCAGCATTGCTGGTGTTGAATCAATCAATTTGCAGATGCCCTGCATGCTGGCCTTTTGTTTGTCCGTCGAATCGCAGCGATGGTGATTGTTCCAGCATGGTAGGCGACGGGGACGCTATGCGTCGCCCTGTTACATATCGAGAGGACGGCGAAGTGGCGAGGTGGCGCTTCGTCGCAGGCATGGGTTTGAAGCATTTGAAGGGAGAGAGAATTTCTCCAGTGGCCAATCTGGTGATTCATCCTCTCTCGGGGGGCCTCGAATTACTCGAGTGGCCACGAAATTGGGTGATAATTACTCGAGTGGCCACGCCAGGGGATTCCTGCTCGCTTTTTTTTCACCGGCGCATTACCCTACGGGGCTTTGTAGCCCCGAAATTCCTTATTCGTGCGAGTGGTATTCCTAGGTGGTGTTCCGTTATGATCCGCACCTTAAAATTTCGCCAGGCTCACGGACGCGAAAGTGGCCCGCCCACTGTACAAGAAACCGACCAGCAGTACATTGACCGGTCAGTTTCGGCCAAATGCGCGACCAATGAGCGCGCGGTCCATCTAATTCCGAACGAATCAGCGATCGAGCATATAACTTCTCGATCATATATTCCTATAGACCCGAAGCGAACAGCCACACCCCTAATGCACGCACATGATTCGTAAAAAACATGCGCGGTGCATATGTTGCCATTGAGCGTCCAATCAGGCGCCATCATTGAGTTCCCCATCATATACCGAAATGATCGGCCATCAATTCGCGATAAACTAAATTAACGCGCGTGATTGGTTTGTTTTAATCTCGGGATATGCTTTGTCATTGAGCGTCCAATCATCCCCGTCTAAATGAAATGGCAACCATATAGAAAATAGGACCGCGCACTAACAAATATTAGTGCGCATATGATTTGTCCAAGTTTGTGTGCTTAGGGTGCATATAAAACATACTCTTAAATCCCATACAGCCACTTTCTTGAGTTCTGTTTTGGTGTCATCTCTACATAGCACAGCGGTCCCCTTTCATGTAGAATGCAGTGGCAAAGGGTTATAATGCTACGCCCTTTGCCACTGCATTCTACATGAAAGGGGACCGCTGTGCTATGTAGAGATGACACCAAAACAGAACTCAAGAAAGTGGCTGTATGGGATTTAAGAGTATGTTTTATATGCACCCTAAGCACACAAACTTGGACAAACCATATGCGCACTAATATTTGTTAGTGCGCGGTCCTATTTTCTATATGGTTGCCATTTCATTTAGATGGGGATGATTGGACGCTCAATGACAAAGCATATCCTGAGATTAAAACAAACCAATCACGCGCGGTAATTTAGTTTATCGCGAATTGATGGCCGATCATTTCGGTATATGATGGGGAACTCAATGATGGCGCCTGATTGGACGCTCAATGGCAACATATGCACCGCGCATGTTTTTTACGAATCATGTGCGTGCATTAGGGGTGTGGCTGTTCGCTTCGGGTCTATAGGAATATATGATCGAGAAGTTATATGCTCGATCGCTGATTCGTTCGGAATTAGATGGACCGCGCGCTCATTGGTCGCGCATTTGGCCGAAACTGACCGGTCAATGTACTGCTGGTCGGTTTCTTGTACAGTGGGCGGGCCACTTTCGCGTCCGTGAGCCTGGCGAAATTTTAAGGTGCGGATCATAACGGAACACCACCTAGGAATACCACTCGCACGAATAAGGAATTTCGGGGCTACAAAGCCCCGTAGGGTAATGCGCCGGTGAAAAAAAAGCGAGCAGGAATCCCCTGGCGTGGCCACTCGAGTAATTATCACCCAATTTCGTGGCCACTCGAGTAATTCGAGGCCCCCCGAGAGAGGATGAATCACCAGATTGGCCACTGGAGAAATTCTCTCTTTGAAGGGATCTCGGTGGCCCTTCCCAGTCGCAAGCAGCTGGTAGGAGCTGCGGCGCGCGCGCCGTCTACATCGGTTGGGTTGGGGCCCTTTTCTTTCGGATTGCTATCGCACAGGCTCGTGCACGCCCCCCACTCATGGTGCAACTTTGCTTCGTGATGTTCGCGACGCCGTCATAAATCAATCTCACGAGTCGCGCAACATTACAAGTCACAAGCGACTCGATGTGGCGGAAACGAGGTCCCCTGGCACGTCCAAATCGCCAATTACACATCGCACAGTGGCTGCGATTCGACAAGTTTACTCAAGGCAAAAAAAATCGCAAATTCGTAAGCTATCGTAGCTAGTGTCGTCAATCTTCGCGGTAACGAGGCAACAAGTGGATGCGAAGCCGGTAACACCGCTTTGACGCGAAAATAACACCTGCATCACCCACGGCGAGCAGTAGTTTGTATCCCTCGCTAGTCGCATCACGTGACGTGGGCTGTCGCACTGTCGTGCTGATCTGCCTGCTCCGAAATAATTTTCAGACTCTCATCTCAAGTTGCCGCAACCAGCTAATTTCCATCCATGCAGTTTCGAAATCACCAATAGCCTCTGCATGCAACACCCATCTGCCTGGACCTCATTCGCTTTCTCCCCCACCAAACAATTTAGGTCAGCGTTTCTATCGCCCTCGCGCCTCGGCTCGACAGATACACTCCGCGTCGCTTCTGTTTTTCATCAGTTGTCTCTTTCGCCCTCCCTCTCGCGTTTCATGCATCGCCTTGGCTGGAGGGCGTCCAAGTCGCCACCAAAGCTGTGCAGCACAACTTGTGCTCTCCACACCTCTTTCCTTTGGCAATCGCACGCACGCAGTCCGCTCAGCCTCAATCATTCCACCCACCCTCGACGATCGCGACTGGGGCCAATTCGCAGCACTAGCAGGACCATAGTCCACCACTGACGCGCCCTTCAACTTCCAGAACTTGCGAGCAACGCAGAGCAACTGCTCGTGTCGGAAGGAAAGTACTCGCAGGAATAGTCCAGTTAGTCTTTTCGTGGCCCCTCCAAAATTGAAAGCGTCTGGCGAGCTGTCAGCGTCTAGATCTTCGTTTGGTCTACTTTCCTGCCTAACCTTGTATCACCATAGACCGTCTTCAGTATCGCACAAAACCCCTCTTAGCGGAACGCTACTAGAGGTGGTGCAGCAGAGATATAGAACCCCTTTCTGACGTTACGGTCGGTCAGTATCTTGCCAGTGCCACGCTCTATCTCCGTGCTTCTCGCAAGTCAGTCAGTCAATCGATGCCCATGAGGCCCGCCGCCTTTCTGGAGGTGTACGTGGACCAATTAGAGGGGCTTGATCTCAGCGCCCTTTGCGCCGCGAATCGCGTTAGCGGTGCGTCGCTGTGCGTGCGGCTGACGGTAACTGCGGGCCACAGATGCTTAGGAGTGGCACAAACGAAACCCGTGAACCCCGGAGGAAGCAGTTGCGTCGTGTTCAACGAGCTTCTTCAGGTACTTATGTCTCCGTTATTGCAGCTCACTGTTCTCGATGGATGCGGTTCTCACGTTTCCCGCTCACTGAATATACAGTCGCAACCCTCTGAAAGATACGGTTCTCATTATTCACGCACGTTTACATGTCTCGCTTGTTGCTCCGACTTCACAGCACCGTAGCTCATCCCACCCGTCTCCATCGCCCTCTTCCCCTTTCAATAGATCGCAATATTCGAGCAGCACGTGGACATACGTGTTGGAGTAGTTTCCGCAGAGGAGTCGATCGCTCTCCACCGCACCGACAGTCAGACTAATGATCTCACAGGGGCTTTCCTCGCGGCGGCGCAGCTGCCTACGTCAGCCATGGCGTCAGCATTGATCGATGGGAGTCGCTGCGACGCAGACACCCCTGCGACTTCAAGTGTGCAGGCGACACGTCGAGAAGCTATGACAGGAAGGTCCATAGACGATCAAGCAAGCCGTCGACGAACCGGTGTTCATGACTATTGTCAGCAGCACGAGCCACAACAGCACCAGCAGCCACACCAGTCGGAGCAGTCGGGGAATCAGCCCCGTCATGGGTTCTCGCTTCTACTCACAACCTCGTCCTCCCATCCCTTAGCCATTCTCCGTGTAACCGCGGCCCTGCGCCCCCTCGGCCTTTCTTGGCCATTTCCCTGCAACCTCCTCGCAAACTCTCCCCACCGAGGATTCTCCACCGCAGCTGTGAGAACTACTGTCGATGGTACTTTTGGGGAAAGAGAGAGTACGATTTGTGAAGCAGGCAAAACCGCCCCTGCAGAGTCTGCGCAACTTTCCGCGTATCTTTCCGCTCAACCCTCCGTGCACCCGTGCCTGTCAGCCGAATCCGCCCGACTGACTTTCCGCAAGCGGAAGTGCAAGTCGGGCCCTATGCTCTTCCACGTCTGCACCACTGCCACCGCCGCTCCCGCCGCCGCAGCGTGCGTCGCTCCTGCGGATTCTGCAGAATCTGATAGGGTGATGCTGCGTCTCACTAAGTCCGGCCCCCTACCGTCTGGTGCCGTTTACGGCGCATCTTACGGTGCGGTCAACGGCGACCATGTAACGGGCTGGCCGTCCTGCAGAAAACAGTCGAATGAGACGTTTGACGGTGGCGTAAACGGCCAGGTCCACGAATCCGCCGGCCCTTCCACGTCCACGTCAATCTCCCCATCGCTTTTGGCCAGCCCTTTAGCGCTCTGGACGGCGCCGGATACGGCGCCAGTCGCGGCGTGGGCTCTTTTCGAGCAGCAGAATTGGCAGAGGGCGCGGCACCCGGCCGCTCTCTCTCTTGACAGCAGCAGAGGAGCGGCAGGGGGAGCGGGTGCTGGAGGGGCATGTTTGGGCGGAGTGTTTGACAAGGGGGCGCGCATGGGGTGTTTTGCGGGGTTGGCGGATCCTCTTTGGCAGCGAGGCTTATCGCAGGCGAGCGGCGACGACGACGACGATGACGAAGTGTCGTCCACGTTTCGAGGCGACGGTTCGCTGTCGCACGTACCTGAGCTTGCAAGCCCAGCCGGGGCAGGAGGGGTAGTGTCCATGGGCGGAGGGCGGGCGCAGGCGTGCGTTTCCCCCACACGGAGCTCCCAGATTCCGCGCAAGTCAGTAGGCAGAGAAGCGGAGAACGCGGATATGGCAGTGGACCTTCTTCTTAACGAGCTGCTAGACGCGCAAATGCTGGCGGAACGCGCGGAGGATTGCGGCGGCGCAACGGGGGGCGGAAGCGTGGATGGCGCAGAGGAGGGCCAAGGGGAGTTTTGCGGTGGAGCGGAAGAGGGGGAAGGGGAATCCTGCGGGGGGTTCTGCTGCAGGGGGGAAGCACGGAAGGGCAGGTGCGCGCTGAGCGTGTCACGCCTGTCGCTTCCATGCGACTTTGACACAGAGGGCGATTGTGTTGGCGACTGTGACGGCGACTGTGACGACGACTGTGACGGCGACTGTGACGACGACTGTGACGGTGACTGCGACGGTGCGTGTGACGACGGCGGCGACGATTACGACGGGGAGAAACCACACGACTGGGCTGAGGATGTCACGGAGATGCAAGAGGAGGTAATTCGCGAGTATTGCCAGCACCACCACCAGCGCCAGCAGAAGCAGCGTGAGCAGGAGACGCACAAGCTAGAGGTTCGTGCGAGCCAGCAGCAGCACGTCTGGTACCCCTGGAGCGGTCCGCTTCCGTCCTCGCCGTGTTTCCTCTCTCTTGGTGCGCCAACAGATCCCTCTGGTCACCTTCAATCTTCCCACTCTGCCCCTCTAACGCCACTTGGACAACCCGTGCTTCCGGCAAGTCCAGCAACAGAAGCAGCCACGCAAGGCCCAGCAGCGGCAGCAGCAGCAGGAGCAAGAGATGCAGCACATCCAGCAGACTATTCTCCAGCTTCCCGGTGTGCTGCACAGGCATCTGTCCCTGCAGTTTGCTTCGCTTCCTTGGGTGAAGAGCGTGTGCGGGAAGCGCCGCACGTGTTTCCAGGGCACGTGGTGGTGGCCTCCTGTGCTTGTGGTGGGCATGCAGTGGAACTCAATTGAAGCATTTGTGTGGGTTCGTTGCTGGTGTGGTGTATGGTAGCGGCGCTAATCGGTTGGAAAGGTTGGCAGGAGTTGATGCTACGCTTTGCTGCAGCCAAGTGGTTTAGCATTGCATGGACCAGGTATACAGATAAGTGATGTGGCTATTGGAGTGCAAGAGTCGTGAGAGCATTGTGTGTCTACTGTTTAGTGGCAAATTATAACGGATTCCAATAATTTGTTGGATATCAATTGTTTCTTACAGTTTTGAGCATGGGGTATATGCTCGTGCTCTTGAAAGAAATTGTTGCACCATGTGAAAGGAGGATACATTATGTTTCATATGATTGTTATCTTGCTTGTAGCTCACAATTATTAAGTTAAAATAATCTCAAGGCACCCTCGCAGCATGAGCTCAATGTTTATTCATCATCTCTTCACAGCTATATCAAATCCTTTGTTGAACTAGGTAATGTGAATCCTTTGTCAAGAAACAGCATCTATGATAGAATAAATCATTTGCACTTACTCGTCAATATCGTTAACGAGTAACCTTATTCATTACACACCACCTGTCGTATGGTCTTTGCCCACGTTGGAAGGTGGCCCCACGGGCTTGGAGAAACATTCGCAGAAGGTGGTAAAGCTGTTCGTCTGAAGCCATGTTACCAGCAGTTTGTGATTTTCGTCGCACGTCCTGCTGACACAAGCGAATTCCGCGCTCGTCGTTAAAGGTAAGGCATTGGTGGAGAGAAAGCCAGCCCTTCGACGCTCAGGTGACGTGGACGCCAGCCCTTGTCCTCTCTTGCACGGACGTGTTGGTGGTGGTGGGGACAGGGCTAGCGAGGAATGCGTTCCGAGAACCGCTGCGCGCTCGAATCCGCGGCTCGATTCTCACATACGCAATGTGCTTTTCCGGATGGCGACAACAACACCCTCCGCGGAGGAACTTGTGAGTGTAGTGTGCACTTGTGCCCCTGTTTGTCAAATGAATGCTTGGCTACACAACATCCAGTCCAGCCCCCCAGCAGCAGCGCAACGAAGCTGTAAGTGCAATAGATATCTATCTGCACCGGTCCGTCCTCGACTGCTTTACACGATGAACGCCTAGCCCACCTCTGTCTTCATGTCGTCCCACTAGCGGCGGTTTTCGGTGTTTTGTTTGAACTCCTTAGCAGTGGCGACGTTGGTTAGGCTCAACCCCGTTCTATGGGCTTCCCGCATCCAGTGTTCCGTTGCCCCTTCGCTAATTCCGGCCTAACTGACTGATTATCAGAGCAGGAAATAGCAGCAGCAGCAGCGGCTGCGGTACCTGTTGGAGATGCAACCGTTGTGGATGACAAAAAGAGAGCAGAAATCCATGGCGACTCGGCGAGTAAGAAGCAACAGAGACGACTTCCGTTATCAACCATTCTCCTCGTTCGCCATACCAGCCCGAGGCCAACTTTTCGGGTTCTTGGCATTTTCCCTCCTGCTGATCGCATCTGTCGAGGCCGTTTATACTGGGGATAGATTCGCGGCAATTCAGGCGAGCGGATCGCCGCAAAAGTCCCGCAAGCCCGACATTGTCGTGGCGCTAGACGGCACTGGTGACTATAAGACCGTGCAGGTGCGTTACCTTGCACCTTGCTGTCCGGCTCCCTCTTTTTTGTCTTTTTCTCCAAGCGTTTTCTTTTTCTAAGATTATGGATCATCCTTTTGTGAATGTTTGTGTGGTCGCTGGTTTCCGGCGGAGCGCCTCTTTTTGTAGCCAAAAGAGAGGACCTGTCCAATAGTCGGACCTATCAAAAGAATCGCGTTCGTGTCTCCGTATGACGCTGCTGTAAGCGACTTCCCAGCCGTCGCACGTGTATAATGTGGGTCCGTCTGCTCTGTCTCCTTCCGCGTTGTACTCGTTGCAGGAAGCGCTCGATAACGCATCTTCTGGACGGCGTGGCCGATTCACCATTATCTACATAAAAGCAGGAGTGTATAACGAAACCCCTATGGTAAGGCTTTCAAGCATTTAAGACTTTCACAATCCTTCCAAGTCTACTTGATTTCGCACCCCGTTACTCTTAGTTCGCATTGCTTGGAAAAATGTGGGAGGGATGGAGGTATATAATAAATCGTTCCAAATAATTCGTGAGTGCCGTTTTTCCGCACTGTTCAGATATGCACACAAGATTTGGCCTGTTAATCACGCACACACGTCCTTCTCCCACTTCGAAAATCCGCTCTGCCTCACCATGCCCCCTCTTTCCCTCCCCCCCTCTACCTGCCCGTCCGCCGTCATGCCATGTTTCCGTCGTGCCCTACCGTGCTACCGCGCGTGCTGCGCAGACGCCCAAGACGCTGCACCACGTGGCGCTGGTGGGCGAGAAGGGCGGCGGCGGCGTGACGATCACGGCGGCGCATTACGCGGGCGAGGACGGCGCGGAGGTCGCGATGAACACGGAGGAGAGCAGCACGTTCAAGCTGTGGGCCACGGATTTCCTAGTGCAGCACATCACCTTCGAGAACAGCCATGGCCCCGGGAAGAAGGGCGGGTAAGTGCGCCTCAAATGTTCACGCTAGGTGGGTCATAGGCGTTCTGGTGCAGCACATCATCATAAAAACCAGCCATGGCCCAGGGCACAAGGGCGGGTGAGCTGGAGCAGATGCTGTGTGGTTTCACAAGGAAGCTTCTCTTTGTTGATTTTTTTTGTTTCATTCGTCGCTCGCTCTCTCTCTTTGTTTGTTGTTGTACGGGGATCCGGATGCCGGAATAGGGACCGTCTGTGTGTGCTAAACGGTGTATTGCGGAGTCTGTCGGAAGCTTGCCTTGGCATGTCTTCTTCTAATGTGCCATTGATAGGATTTGCTCGGCATTGCATGAAATTATCCTCCATGTGATGCATAATGACGATGACACATTGTTATGGCGATGATGCATGGTAATGATGGCGATGCGTGTGTGCGAGCATGAGCAGCAAGGAGGACCAAGCGGTGGCGCTGATGGTCAAAGGCACGCGCATCCAGTTTTACGAGTGCACCTTCCTCGGCTATCAGGTACCGCTCGTCCCGCTCAAGTTGTACAAGTGCGCTATCACCTCCTTCCCATACGACTAAGACGTATCCAGTTGTACAAGTGCGCATTCCTCGGAATTTTCTAGGCGCCTCAAAAATCGCGTTCCTCGGATACCAGGTGCTGCTAGCTGAGCCTTCTCTCTCCTTTGCCCCTCCTTCCCTCTTTGCCTCTGTCTCCCCCGCCGTCTCCCCCGCTGCCTCCCCCGCTGTCTCCCGCCAGGACACCTTGTACGCGCACAGCGGACTCCAGTACTACAAGAACTGCAGTGAGTTTGCCACAGCGCGCAAAGCACACCTTCCGCTGCTGTTTTTTATCCGCATCCTCGTTGACTCAAGGTCCATGCGCGCCAACGCTTCCCTCCCCTTCGAGAATTTCTCTAGAGGGATACAAGATCGTTCCTGCTCCCGCCTCGTCCGATTTTTCCTCGTACCTGTGGACCTTTCCCGCTTCCCCGTTTTCCCGCTTCCCCGCTACCCCGCTTCCCCGCTTCCCCGCTTCCCAGCTTCCCCGCTTCCCCGCTTCCCAGCTTCCCCGCTTCCCCGCTTCCCCGCTTCCCAGCTTCCCCGCTTCCCCGCTTCCCCGCTTCCCAGCTTCCCCGCTTCCCCGCTTCCCAGCTTCCCCGCTTCCCCGCTTCCCCGCTTCCCCGCTTCCCAGCTTCCCCGTTTCCCCGCTTCCCCGCTTCCCCGCTTCCCAGCTTCCCCGCTTCCCAGCTCATTGAACCCCAGCAACTCCTAACCTACTCCTCACCCTCCCCGCCGCTTTGGACCCCTCTCGTTGAAGCGGCCCATTCCCCCCACTCCTTCTCCCCATTCTCATCCTCTTACCCCGTCCTCTCCCCCCCCTTCCCCTTTCCCCGCCCCTCACCCTCCTTCCACCACCCCCTTCCCCCGCTCCCTCCGCCCGACGCCCGTCATCCAGGGCCGCATGGACCTGGTCATACTCTGAAGTCTCTTTTCCCCTCCTTCCCCACCCGTTTCCCCCCTCTCTCCCTCCTCCCCTCCGCCCTTCCTCCTCCACTCCCCCAGTCATCCAGGGTCGCATGGATTTCGTATTCGGCAATGCCAAGGCGGTCTTCGACGACTGCATTTTCCGCCTCGTCTACTGGGGCGGCGCGTACTTTGCGCAGGCGCGCGCCGCGGGCGAGGAGACCGGGTTCGTCATTCGCGGGGGGGTTCTCACACCGTACGGCAGCGAACAGCCGATCCGCCCGGGTTACCTCGCGCGCTCCTGGGGCGACTACTCAACGGTCGTTTTCGCGAACACGTTTTTCGCGAAGGACGCGGTGCGGGAGGAGGGGTGGGGGTTCGTGAGCGGGTACACAAAAACGGAATCACTCACCTTTGGAGTGTACAACGTCAGAGGTCCCGGGTTCAATACCTCGGGATGGCCAAAACACGCCAAGATAATGACTGCAGCGGAAATCCAGCCGTATCTTGCGAACGACTATATCAACGATATTGGATGGATTGTAGATCCCGGGGTTCTGTTGAGGGGAGTGGGGGACGCGCTGAATCCGCGCACGGTCAGCGCCATGTGGGGCGCGGGGAACTCGAGGCAGCGGAAGGGCAAGGGGAAGAAGCGCAAGGAGAGGGGGACCGGCGGAGCGGATGACGGGGGAGGTGGCAAGGACAGCGGCAGCAAAGGCGGCAGCGGCGGCAGTTCGAAGCAGCCTAGAAAGCCCCCTTCCCCGTCCCCCACTCCTACTCCCTCTCCTTCTCCCACTCCTCTGCCGTCTTCCCCTTCCCCATCCCCCAAACAACCTGCGGCGCCCGTTCCGCCCCGCAACCCCCGCGTTCCGCCGAAGACCCCACGGCCGACCACACCAGTGCCTACTAAGCCGGCACCTAAACCAGTGGTACCCAAGCCGACTCCTAAGCTGCCGCCCAAGCCTGCTACTCCCGCGCCCAAAGTCCCTGTAACGAAGGTGCCTGTAACGAAGCCTCCTGTGACCAAGGTGCCTGTAACGAAGCCTCCCGTAACGAAGGCCCCAGTACCAAAGGTGCCCGTGGCGAAGGCACCTGTGCCCAATGCGCCTGCCACCAAGCCTCCAATCACAAAGGTGCCTGTAACGAAGCCTCCTGTAGCGAAGGCCCCAGTACCAAAGGTGCCTGCGAAGGTACCTGTGCCCAATACGCCTGTCACCAAGCCTCCTGCTGCAAAGGTGCCTGTAACGAAGCCTCCTGTAGCGAAGGTTCCTGTCACCAAGCCTCCTGTTGCGAAGGTGCCTGTAACGAAGGCCCCAGTACCGAAGGTGCCTGTAAGCAGCCCAGGGGCGATGCCCAAGTCCCCAGTCAGTAAGCCCCTGCCTCTGCCTGCAAAAACCCCCGGTGCGACCCCTGCTACTCCAGCCGTTCCCATCCCTGCCAGACCCCTTCCCAAGCCTGTTCCCAAACCTGTCACCAAGCCTGTAACCAAACCTGTCACCAAGCCTGTCACCAAGCCTGTCACCAAGCCTGTGACCCAACCCACCGTGACCCGACCCCTTACCCGGCCCAGGGTGCCAGTCCCTGCAACAACTGTACCCCCCACCCTTGCGCAGCGTCCGCGTGTAACACCCCCTCCGGTAACCACCACCACCCCTGTGACAGGGAGCCTTCCCAGCAGGACAGCCCCCGGTGCTGCTGTACGCGTGCCCCCAAGGCCTGCTGCTGTCGTGCCCCCAAGGCCTGCTGCTGTCGTGCCCCCAAGGCCTGCTGCTGTCGTGCCCCCAAGGCCTGCTGCTGTCGTGCCCCCAAGGCCTGCTGCTGCTGTGGTTCCCCCAAGGCGGCCAGCGGCTGTTCCGCAAAGACCGACGGCTGTGATTCCTCCAAGGCCCGCTGCTGCTGTTCCCCCAAGGCCCACTGCTGTCCCCCCGAGACCCACTGTTGTCCCCCCGAGACCCACTGTTGTCCCCCCGAAACCCACTGTTGTCCCCCCGAGACCCACTGTTGTCCCCCCGAGACCCACTGTTGTCCCCCCGAAACCCACTGTTGTCCCCCCGAAACCCACTGTTGTCCCGTCAAGGCCTGCTGCTGTGGTTCCCAGAAGACCCACTGCTGTGGTTCCCCAAAGGCCCGCTACTGTTGTTGTTCCCCCTAGGCCCGCTGCTGCTGTACCGGCACAGAAGCCTGCTGCAGTGATTGTACCGCTGAGGAGGAGAAGGCAACCTGTAGCTGTGACACCTCCTGTCCGCAGACCAGTTGTGGCCCACCCTGCCGCCCCTTTGACTAGAACGCCCGCTGCTGCTCCCACGCGCACAGCACCGGCTGCTGCTGCGGCTACTACTGCTGCTGTTGATGGCGGCAATGGGACGCCCCTGAACAACGAGGAGCAGCTTCGGGCGTGGGAGATTCAACAGCAACGGTGGCAGCAGCAGCAGCAGCAGCAGCAGCAGCAGGAGAGGAGGTGGGATCAGCAGCAGAAGAAGCGAAGACAGTGGCGCAGGAGACGGCAGCAGCAGGCTGGCGCATCTGCAGCAAGAGCAGCAGCAAGGGGAGGAATAGGAGGAGGTGCTGGTGGTACTGGTACTGCTGCTGCTGCTGCTGCTGCTGCTGCTGGTTTTGGTGCAGGCGCACGGGTGAAGATTGGAGGCAAGGCAGCGGTGAGGGGGAGAGGGATGAATCCTCAATGGCGAAAGGTGTTGAGGAGATGGGGCAGAATAGGCGTATGAGAGCAATTACGAGAGGAGGATTCTCCTGTGGTAGTTAACAAGTCCTGTGGTACTGAACTGACTGCATTCATGTTAGCCTATGTAGTGTAGGGCTGGCTGTATGCCTTCAATAGTTAGCACATTACCTTGGCTTTACATTACTGCCATGTTCTGCTGCTACTAATGCCAACATGGTATAAATTTTTGTCATCAAGCCTACCACTACACGTTCTGCTGTCCTGTGAACCTAGGATTTTTTTTTTTTTTTTTTCTTTTCTTTTGTTGTGTCACAAGCAGTCAGGCTGCAATTCACCTCACATTGCAGTTCAATCACATCACAGTGCTCCTAAAGCTTGAGGGTTCACAGTATGAACGTAATGCTCAATCAACCCACAGTAACAATTCAGCTGCTCAAAGCAGCTGTATTCCCCCCTCTCTCTCCCACTCTCCCGCCCTCGCTTTCTCCTCTCTTCGCCTCCCTTCCCCACCTCTCTCTTCCTTCAGGCATACTTCTTCCCTAGAATCCCATCCCCAACACCACCACTCGCTCCTTCCCTCACCGCCCCCGTCCCCTTATCACCGCCACCCACACCACCAGCACCACCATCACCCAAAGCCTTCCCACCCACGCGCCCAGCCCTGCCAGAACCACGCAGCACCACAGCCCGAACCGGGAAGCACCAGCGCAGCAGCCGCTCCCACGCATAGCACCCCACAAACATGACCGCAGCCATGCCGAGCAGCGACACTCCCAGCGGCTGCGGCAGCTTCACCAGCTCCAGGGAGTCGTTCAGCTCTCGGATCGTGTCCGACGCGACCACTGTGAAAAACACCGCCGCGGCCGAGAGCGCGTAGAAGAACTGCGTATTCTCCCGGATGCTCTGGTTGAACGGATGCCCGATGTAATTCACTGCGAACGTCGCGACCTGGATCATCATATTCGCCATGTAGGATACCGTGTTGACGAGGTTCGGAGAGAACGTGGAGTCCGGTTCAATGCATTCCTCTGGCATGAAGGTCTGCGCCCAGGACACGGCTGTTATGAGGAACGTGATGTGGATGGCGAATTGTCCGAGGATGGAAATGAGAACGTAGGCTGAGAAGACCTTCGGGTGCGGGCGCTCCTTCGAAAGCGTGTCGAGAGGCTTGGCTTGGGAAAGAAAGAGGAAGAAGGCTGCTGTGAACACACCGCTGATCGTCGCTTGAGTGTCGCCGAGCTTCACCCCATCAAGGTACATCACAGACATGACATAGGCTGTCGCGAGGCAGTTGAGACCGAGGATCTTGAACATCTGTAACGTGGTAACCAGCGTTGCGCGGCCCTGGCGGAGGATGTCCCGGGTGGGTTTCACGGAGGCGTGCTTGGCTGTGAATGGAGAGGCCATGGATGCGTCTCCGAGCTTTACCACCGGTGCGCGCCCGTCCCCTCCGTCCTCGAGCTCTTTCATCAGCTTCTGCAGCTTCTCCTGCTGCTCTTTCACCTTCCGCTGGTGCATCTCACGCGCGGAGAGGCGTGGGTTAACCACCCCTCCTGGCCCTGCTGCTGCTGATGATGCAGCGGCGGTGGTGCTGCCTGCTGCGGCAGAAGCGAGGGAGCCGCCTGCGGTGGCTCCTGCAGAACCTCCTATGGCTGCTGTGGCGTGGGGTTGCCCTGGCCTCCTCTTGTGCTTCGCGGCCCCTGGGGTGGGGAGGGCAGGAGGGAGGGGAGCGAATGTGTTTTGGGGCGCCTCAGAAACAGACTTTCTGAGTCCGGCAGGAGAGGGCAGGGAGGGGAAGAGTAGGGAAAGGCGTATGGGTGGGGGAAGGGGCCACCACGGAGAATACTGCAGGGATGGGGGAAGATGGGCATAGATGGGTGATTGGAAGCAGGAATCCGACGAAGGAAGCTTTTTACTGTCATGGTTTGTCACGGCAGGGAAAAACTCTACCTCATGCGCAAGCCTTTCACAAACCCAGACACAGAAACATCAACTCACCCACCCCTCATCCACCCAGGGCCCCACCTGCAGCAGCATCCCCAGCGCTCTTCTTGCCGGCAGGGGCGGGCGGGACGGCGTTGAGCAGAACAACGCCCACGTCTGCCCGCTTGAGAGCACCCAGCAACCACGTCGTTGGTGCCGTCGCCACACATGAGCGTCAACCGCCCCACCCACAAGCATGTACCCACTTCCCTCCACCCAGGCCCCCACTGGCACCTCCACCACTCACTCACCCAGCCGCCCACCCCTGCAGTTATCCCCCCTTCCCCCCATCTACCTGCCTCCCTCCACCCAGGGTCCCACCTGCAGCAGCATCCCCGGTGCTCTTCTTGCCAGCAGGAGCAGGCGGGACAGCGTTGAGCAGAGCAACACCCACGTCTGCCCGCTTGAGAGCACCCACGTCGTTGGTGCCGTCGCCACACATGAGCGTCACCCGCCCCACGTCCTTGAGCGTTGCTAGAATCACCTCCTTCTGCTCCGGTGACACCCGCGCAAACACCTGCGGGGGATAGGTATCAGGGAAAGGAGGAGTAGGGAGGAGGGAGGGGAGGAGGGGAAGGGAAGCGGGGGAAGTGGGGGGGAAGTGGGGGGAAAGGAGGGGGGGGAGGGGGAGGAAGGGGAGGTGGGGAAGAGGGACTGGAACATGCATTAGCCACGTGGTCGGCGTGTGATGAGACGATTTTTGAGTCGACTCATCACACGATGGGCATAAGCATAACCACGTTGTCGGTTCTGCTCTTGAGTCAACTCAAAAGTCACCTCGATTTTTGGGTCAACTCATCACACAATGGGAGCATATGCATAAGCATAGCCATGTGGTCAGTTGTGCTGTCGCATCTGAAAGTATGACCCAACCTAGCTCCTCGTAATTCAGCCCATACCACCTACCTTTGCTCTTAGATACTTGGGAGCGGGATGGGGTTCGTGGTGAAAGGATGGCACAGCGCAGCACAGTGCAGCACAGCGCAGCACAGCGCAGCACAGCGCAGCACAGCACAGCACAGCACAGCACAGCACAGCACAGCACAGCACAGCACAGCACAGCACAGCACAGCACAGCACAGCACAGCACAGCACAGCACAGCACAGCACAGCACAGCACAGCACAGCACAGCACAGCACAGCACAGCACAGCACACAACACGCACCTGTGTGCGCGGCACGACGAGGGAGAGGGCGTTGCAGCGCTGCAGCATGGCGATCCCGTCGCCCGCCACACACAGGTCGTACTCCTCACTCACCCGCTGCACCTCCTCCTCGCTGCCAGGGGGGGGGGGGGGAATAGGGGGCAAAGCATGTGCATGAAGACCGTGGTCAGCGCAAGACCATGGCACGAGCAAGACCACAGCCACACACAGGTCGCACTCCTCACTCACCCGCTCCACTTCCTCCTCGCTGCTCGCACCACAGCATACCACAGCAAAGCACAAGACCACAGCGATGGAGGCGACAAGGGGGTGAGACAAAAGAGTCGTATCGTATGCTGTCATACATTCGTACACACACTAGCCATTCACTATCAGCCATGATGGGTGAGTGTGAGGAAGTGAGTGCGGAAGCTGCCACATTGCATCGTGGGTGAGTGTGAGGAAGTTAGTGAGCATGGTGCCGGTGACGAAGGCCATAGGGGAGTATTTGTACACACATTTCCAACCCACTCCACCCCACCCTACTCCATTCCACCCCATCCCTCTCCACTCCACCGCATTCCCCCGCCCCTCTCCACCCCTCTCCACCCCAGTCCACCCCACTCCACCCCAGTCTACTCCACTCCACCCGACCCCACTTACCTGTAGGGCATGCAGGTGACTTCATCAGGCGACAGCCAGTTGAATCCCCCGTCAGCAGAGGGAGTGAGAACGAGCACAGGGCGAGTCACTATGTTCACCTGCCCTGCCACGTGACACGCTGTCAGCGCCTGATCTCCTGTGATCATCACCTGACGCACGGAGGAAGGTGGACAGCAGGGTCGAGGAGAGGGGGTGTGGGGGGGTGTGGAAAGGGCAGAGAGGAAGAGGGGAGTGAGAAAGGCATGATGGCGACAAGACACAGAGACACTAGAGGAAGCAGGAGAGGGAGGAAACGAGGAGAGAGGGGAAGGAGACCGAGGAGAGGACGAGAATTTACGGAAGGCGAAAAGAATAGGGCAAGCAAGGGTGAGGGAGGGACGGACCAGGTCGTGGGAGGAGGAGCGCAGCTCTGCAAGCACAGAGGCGGAGTCAGAGCGGATGGGGCATGCGAAGACCTGATGGGGAGGGCCGGGGGACAGAGAGAAAGTGGGGACAGGCATTTGTGTGTGGGCACTTGGGAAGAGTGGTGCAGTTCGGCTGGTACAGAGGCGGACAGATTGGGCATGCGAGGTGGGGTGTGAGAGAGGAGAGGTAAGTGGGGGAAGCGGGAAAGGAGGAAGTGTGGACAGGCGGGTATGTTCGTGATGGGCGCATGGGAAGGTGGGCAGGATGCGAGGAGGGGAGGGAGGGAGGGAGGGAGGGAGGGAGGGAGGGAGGGAGGGAGGGAGGGAGGGAGGGAGGGAGGGAGGGAGGGAGGGAGGGAGGGAGGGAGGGAGGGAGGGAGGGAGTGGGGAAGGAAAGGGGAAGACGCGTGTGCGTGTGCATGGGTGGGTGCATGTGAGGGCATGTATTACCGCGAAGCCAGCGAATGTGAGGGCACTCTCCACATCGTCACGCTCCAGAGCCCTCGCCTCTGTCACCTGTGCCACACGCACACGCAGATATACACGCAAACACACATGCACGCACCCCCCCCCCCCACGCCCTTCCTTCCTCCCCACCTCATTACACACACACCCATCCCCCCCCCACACACTCATCATACATACAGCAACAATCCAAAAGCTCTGCATTGAACCACATTCGGCCAGACCAGAACGCACTGCATCCCGTTCCGTGTGGAAAACGCAGCGTTGTTTTCCATCCCGTTCACAGGCTGCCCACATCCAATGCAGCAACAGCATTGGCGACAGCGGCTCAGTGGAGAAAAAAAGGTAGGGAGGGGCAAGCAACATCTAGGATCTGAGAAAAG